ATAATTCGCAAGGGACACGCCACTGGTTTTGAATGGCGTATGCCCATTCTGCAACCTGTGTAGCGCTTTCCAACTAGTGGGGTTATTATTTGAAGTGCCATCATCTGAAACTCGATTAATAACGGACAACAGACCGCGTTTGTAATCCCGATAACCGGAATTGTTTGAGGTCATAAAAGAACAATCGTAAATGTGTATTCGAAAACCGCGTTTGACATTTTTTTTTGGTATCGATAAACGCTCAACTTTACTCGGATACGTGTCCACAAATGCGTTATCGCGTCCACTTTTATCAAGACGATCCGTTCAAATGAGTTACTCAATGTAATTGGAAAATATTCGATTTATTTGAGACGTTGTGAATGATTCCCAACTCATCCTAAATCATTGTAACTCATCCTAACTCATCCTAACTCATCCTAATTCATCCTAATTCATCCCACCTGATGTAACATTTGCTCATTTTTCTAATAAATATAAATCCTCAAATAGTGTTCGTGTATTTGAAGTGTGTTCTATCGATAACGAATTATTGGAAGGCTAATCTGCAGTTAGCAATCTAGTAGTACAAAGTTCTGAGCTGGTACGGGCAAAGCTTCTCCCCGAGAATCGAGCAAATATTGAATTTGGTCCGCAATCATAATCATCGATTAAGCAAAGATCTCGCTAATCATCCCTTCCGCGCGCCGGCTTAAAATAACACTTCTCTATAAATACACCGACATCGGGCCGGACCGCGCGGTTTCTCATTCGCCCGACACCATCGAAATTAATCTCGATCGAATGGATGTGTGAAGCAGACAGCTGCCCGATTTTCGGCCCATTCTCTTTGTCTAAGTATGTAAATACACTTTGTTGAACATTCGCGTTCGAACTTACTGCCGGAGATAATGGCTTTCGTTTAGTAAAGTCAATAAAACGGCCGGACCGTTTCTAATATAAATCGAAATTTTACGGACCGGTTCCGATCTACTCGTTTCCGATAGGTTCCATTCACGTGGGAGTTTAAATGGAAATTTAAAGTTTACGTTATTAACTCCTCTATGTGTGCTAATATTTCCTTACTAATATTATTTACTCACTAAAAATCTCACTCCTAATCAAGATCAGCAAAGTAGCAGGATTTTAAACAAGAGCTAATCTCGACACTGTACAATTGTTTCCTTCGGGAAAATAAAAATAAATATGAAAGCAGTGTGATAGCAGCTATTTGGTGGAATATCCAGCGGTACAAAATTGGCCTTTTACCGTTAGGACGTCAGCGCAAAAAATCAAAAGCGGACGAAATGAGTGCGCGGAAATATTTAACATTGCACCGCGATGCGATATTAAAATAAACGAATCGAAAAAAAGGAGTATTTTTTTTATTTCTCAACGTTTGTGTTCGCCACATAATGATACAGGCCCACCCAGCTCCTATGATATTAACGTCACCCGCGCCATCTCACATGTCTCTCCCGTCAGAATTTCATGTTAGATGAACTGATATGAAAATTAACCGTGTTCACAATATAATTAACCGTCACGATTTTTTTCCAGTGTCCAAATATTTAATTACACGAAAGAATTAATCGCCGGCGTTTAATTCGAATATTAAGCAAACGATATTGCGTATAGTCCGGGGATTTTTCGAAAGGGATTTTATTTGTTTTGGGCGAATGTAAATACGCCACTGGGCTCTTGTCTTTCGTCGCGACTGCTAATTCTCTTCTGCGAAGAAAAATTTATACATTTCATTGTCGAGTTCGTTTTGGCCGCGTCGCCGTAATAAATTACAAGATAATTTGACAGTACAAACGGTCCGTTTTTTCGCTTATAATTACCGCACTATAATTTATGTCGCGGAGTCCGTTCGAGTTCTGTATTTAAATTCCTCCTCGTTAAAGTTTCTTCGGCCTTTGGTGAAAAACTTTCACATTCAATTACGCAAATTCTTTCATTTCGCCGTTTTTCGGTGCGCTTTTCTTTTCCACCGGATATCTTGCCAAGAACGTCCGTAATTTAATTCTATATAGAAAACGGCTTTAATGAAAAACAAAGCAGATGTTTCCCCGGTTATGAAATATCAACATTGAATTATTCATTTTGTTTTCGTCTCTGAATTGATGGAGCTTATTTGACGAAGGGAGGGATCCTCCTCCAGCTCGATTATTTTTTTTTGAAAATTTTTTAACCACATCGTATCATGAATATTATTTACAATCGATGAGAAAATTCCGATGGAAATTTCTTAGGAAACGAGTAACGCGGAGTTTCGGTCGGAGGCCCGCTCAAAGGGTCAAAGTCTGTTATGCCGCGGTGGCATTAAGGCAAAGGGTCAAACCCTTTCAAATCGGAATCCTTTGTAAGATTCTCTTATTAGTTTTTGTCGGCGAATTTCACGAGAGATTTGCACAATGCGTTCGGTTAGTGAATCGCGTAAGGGCCTTTTCGAAAAGGGCCGTTGTGAGCGCACGCTGAAAGGCCCCGTCTAGGACGATCCGCCTCTCGTAACACGATCGCAATAAGACCTACACCGTATACCAACGGAATAAAAAAACAAGCGCTCTCCTTGCAGTAGCCTTTGCAGTTATATTGCAAACACGAGATTTACCTACCACTCGAACAAAAGGGGAGTGTGTGTGCTAATCTACAGGGTGCGCAAATCTCGCTATTATTATAACAAGATCCAAACTGTTTCGAAGCATTTTTATGAAACAAAAATTGAAGATGAATCTTAAAACAGCCAATTATAGGTCTAATTTGGTCACCCTGTACAAGAACGCATACGAAAGAAATTGAAGAATGAATTTCAATAGAAAACAATTTTTGTTGCATTTCGAGTCCATCCGTGTGCAGCTCATTTGTCTCTGCAGAATTATTTGTCGTCCTCAAACAAATCGCGGGATCGCCTGTGCTCCAACAGCAGCACTTTCATCAAGGTATACAAGCGTAACGAGCGCCGAAAAAGCGCGGCTTTTTTCCATTCGCAGCAGACGGAGGAGAGATAGTTCACGAAATTCGCAATGCATGCTCCGGCATTATTATGAAAATTTTCGAGAGTGCTCGTCGGCGTCGACCGGAGTAACAAAAGGACGCCCGGAGACGACAAAAAATATAGTTCGTCCTCTTCATTTAGCTCGACGTTCGTGGAAATCTCTTTTCGAAGGCAGAAGAGAGCCCGTTCGAATGCGACAATGACTTTCGTCGAGTCCTCCGCGCTCGCGGGCCCGCCGAATAATTATCTAAAATCGCTTTTAGGCGTATTTTTGTGTAACGAACAAGAGAGGAAATTTAATTGAATGGAAAGGGATCGACGATAACTGAGACATTCGAACCGACGGGCCGATTACATTGTATTGATGATGGTAATTAATTTTTTGGTCGAATGCTCTGAGATTTAAGATATGATGTAAGTCATATCTTCATATTAATAATTTAGGTAACAAGTTAAATGAATCAAACAATCAATGCTAATGAAACTGTTTTTCATCTTGTATGTTACAATTTACATATTAATTTTTTTTAATACATAACGCAAACAGCGCGTGCTTGTTAGGCGCCTAATTAATAAGTAATGGAATTTTAATCAATTCCTAGTGTAAATGAACGAGAAAATGAAAACACTTTCATCTCAACAAACGTAACAAAGGGAAGAAAAGTGCATAAAGCTTGTAGATAATAACATGAAAGAGGTCACAACATAAAATAAAAAAATATAATCCTCTTAGTTAATTCATATTTCTCTGTAGTGTTTTGAATGCGCTTATTTTTACTGCAATAATTTCGAAATGAAATAATTAAATTATATTTATGTATTATTTTATTTTGTATTTTTTGTACATATACTAATGTAATAAATACAATATTTAATTCATAATTTCATTGAACGTTCATAGATACCTACTAATTACAAATCTACTCTATGCGTTATGAACAATAAGCTTAAAATTCTACATGCAGATATAAAACATTTATATCATTCAATTAAAATTAATAATTTATTATGCTTTCATAATTGCGGTGTCACCGTGTTGTTAAATCACATTTTTCGATTGCGAAGATTCCATTAAAGTTGTCGGAAAAGTAATTTAATTTTTAATTGTTATTTCGATATTTCAATGCGCAATTATTTTAAAATTAAAAACAATAAAGCGAGTGGGGAACATTTTAGTGGACATTCACTAAGCGACAAAACGCTTTATTAAATGACAAATTTTAGTCGGGGATAATTTTTAATTTTACGGTTAATAAAAAATTCATTTACGACAAGTTATCGACCATTAGTGAGTTGACAATAAAAGAAGTGTTAAAATCGTAAAAACAATTATATTTTTCATCGCGGGTAATTTTTAATTTTACTCATTTACCTGCATGTAACTAGAATATATTTCGTACGCTCGTAAATGCTCGTGAATGGTTACTGTACGGTAACTCGTACATCAGGCAACTCCATAATTATTTTTCTCTCTAATTCTAAACAATTTTCTATAAACAACAAACAACTCTAAACGACGTCCGAACAATTTTGTGGCCGTCGTTACAACGGAAATTACTACCTATTGTCGTATTAAATTCGAAATAAATTTACATTTTATTTCAAATTTAAATTGTTCTGTTTTATGAGATATAGGTATCGAGTATTCCCCACCCTCCAGCGGTCAAAGTAAATGACATTCCGCAACTTATCCATTATTGCGGAATTAGGTCGGCCTTTCTGGCATCGAGATCGACATAACAGGAGCACTTAGGTCGCGTAGGCATGCCAGAGTTTCCTCCACTATGCGGCATACTTCATGAATTAGGTATTTAACGAGGTATAAGGTTTATGCGCGACATCGTGTAATCCCATTTTAGAGGTATTTTCTTATTAAAGACTTTAATGAATGTCGGTATTTTCTATCTATTAGTATCTATCTTCAAATTTTCTTATTGTATCTACAACATTCTTAATCCTAGGTTCGCTATTTTCCTCTCACAAAGAGCACAACTTCAAGACGAATTCCACATGCATCACCATGGTCTCAAACCGAATTTTAGAAGAACCAAAGTATACGAAAGTGGTGCAATTTGGTTTCAATCACCGTTCATCTTCCACGAGCTCGTATCAAGCGACACCGTCACTTGATATACTCATCAAATATCCAGCGAATGGTAATGGAAAACGCACAATCGACGATGCTTCCAGCATGGTGCCCTATTACAATCCGATAGAGGACGTGCGGTGCTGTAACTGAAGAACGCGCCACTTGATCCGAATGCACTCGAAAAAAAAAAACAACGATGATTGGTCGACGGCAACTTCCCGTTCGAAATCCGACCAATCGCGCGCCGCCCGTCTACATGATAGAGCTTACTCATTATTTGCATTGTTTACAGTCGAGTAATTAGAAGGATGCTTTTCATGGAGACCAGAACGCCGCGTTGCCGTTTTACCGCGCTGATTAAGTCGTAAATAATTTTCTAATGCAGGGTGATAGGTAAGGATATTTGCTGTATAGACTAATAAGGAAAGGGTTGGTTTGTAATGTTGTGGATATGTAATATGAGATTATTTTAAGGGTTATCATTTGATGGGGAATTCTTTTTGTTCCGATGATTCTACCAATTCCAGTTTTTTTCCTCTTCCCACCTCCTTTTTCAGTCTTCCTCTGCCTTCCTCTCCCTTCCTCTGCCTTCCTCTGCCTTCCTCTGCCTTCCTCTGCCTTCCTCTGCCTTCCTCTGCCTTCCTCTGCCTTCCTTTGCCTTCCTCCTCCTTCCTATTCCTTCTTCCAAAAACGATTAATACTACTTATGCAGTTTATCGAGACAAAATGGTTAGACATGACAACAGCGCCATAACCGGAAATTCACAGGAAAGGGGGCAAATTACATCCTGCACGGGTACTGAAGTGTGCAGGCATTAGCCTTATTATATACCTCCCTTGTTGTTGAATGGGTGGAGCTACACATATGCCCTTCCGTATAGTCATTACCATTTTTCCTTTTTGAGTGCCGTCGCGGATGAGACGACGACGCGACGCTGCGGAGGGTTTTTCTTTTTGTTTTCGATTCGTCTGTTGTTCGATTATTTTTCGAGTTGCTTTTCGTATTCCGCGCTGCCGGTCGGGCGGAATGAAAGGACGCGTCCGCTCGACCGAGGCGCGTCTATTTAAGAGATTAATCCGCATTTGATTTTTCGAAAGTGAATTCCCATATAAACGGATCGGATTTGGGGTCATTAATAAAGAGCGAACCACTAAAATGCGACATATCTGTAAATTCGATCGAGCCCGGTCGACGTTCGAGCGACAGTTGCGCGTCTCCGACTTAATGGACATGTCCCTGGAGGCAGGATTGACTGGACGTCGACGGATAAAAGCATCAAGAAAACATGTCATCTGCCGCGAAGAAACAAATAAATGTACGGCTTAATCTTGATCGAAAAAGTCGGACGAATTATATTCCGACCGATTTCTTTAATTTCTGTTTCGATTATCTATACGCGCATACCCAGGAATGTTGTTCTAATTAGTTTTTGAATTCGTACCTACTTAGTTACTAGAGTCGTACGTTTTCAGTCAATTATCATTATCAACAAATTTGTTTTAATTATTAATAATTACATTTCTTTTGCTAAATATATACCTACTATCTTTCTAATGAATACTAAAGTAACAAATTACTCATTATAATTTCCTATTATTTAGATAACGCATTTAGAATAATCTGGAATTAATGGAATACATTATTGATTATGATGTAATTATTGAGTGCGCTTTGCTAATGCTTATTGATTCCCTTCCGCACGAATCTATTTAATATGTAGTTATCTACAACGTATTTACCAGTATATTATGGTACTTGATCTATTTAAATTACAATTACAGCATCATACTTCAATTGAAGTATGATAAGTATCAACTAATTAATAAATCGCATTTTCTAATTTGATACTGCATACGTTAAAATGAAATGGTTAAACTAAAAATTGCATTATTTGAGTCATGCTAATGAAGAAATTTCGCTAGCTTGGCTGGGTGTATTTTGAAAAGTGCCACTTTGAGTTATCTGATAGTTGTATTACTTTGAGTTAGAAAAATCTTGATAAAAACCGAACGCCGGTGTGCCCTTAACACGCGAAACTTCGTTAGCACTACAACTTCGTTAGCTGCACCGACTATCTAAATTAGTTGTTAAGTGGCGAATACGCGACCCCTTTGTGGAGTTTTAGCACGAAAAGTGCGTTTTATTATAATTTACGGTTTTTTACACATATTTACAAATTGTCCAAACACCGTGGTATCTTTCTTCTATTTATCTTCAACATCAATTTAAACTTTTTAAAAGTTAAATCAATCGAAATGAAATGGAAAAATTTATTATTTTTTACGGTTGAATTAAATGGTTGTCTCACCTTATATTTAGTTTATCGTCAGTTTCCAATATTAATATGGAAAATATAAAGGTAGTCAACAAATATACATTGAAAAAAAAATGACAATATATCTAATTAACACAACTCATTCTACTTTGCACAGCAACAAACAGCACAACAACAAATAAGTATACAATTAAAAAAAAAATGCATAAACGTATCTAATTAACAGACCCTTATTCTACTTTGTAGCTATCTACCTTACTTTACTTTATCTACCTTTTTATAAAATAGGTTATACATCATGCAATTGTTTGTTTGTACTTCGTTGTTGTCTATAGTCGTCAATTAAACCTAAAATGAATTGTAAAAATGTTTCGATTTGCGCTTCAACATTCGCAGGTATCTTGTTAGTTTATAAAATATGTCCCACAGTCCATTAATGTGTGTAAAATAATAACAGGGTTATTATTCTGGTAAAATATAAATTTTCTTTATTTCGACAATCTGTTTGTGTGCATACATATATTACAATATACCCGTAATTTGATTTTTTTAGGGGGGCTCGAATTTATTTAACAATAATATTTTTTTTTAGGAATTCTGATTTATATTGAATATGGCATTATTTTGGCGTGGAATTCACCAACATTGGATAAATTTCGATCAAACAATACCGAAATTAATCCTTTGGGCGAGCCAATCTCTGCTTTGCAGCTTTCAATATGCACATCGATTTTTCCTGTATCTTCGATAGTGACGTCTATGGGAGTAGCCAAACTGCCCGATATATTCGGAAGGAGAACAACATTAATTTGCACTGCACTTTTAGGATTTACGTCTTTTATCGCGATGGGTTTCGTTAATAACATTTGGGCGTATTGCTTCGTTCAATTTTTATCATGTCTTAGTGTTAGTGCGGGTATGATAGTAACGCCGACCTATCTATCAGAAATATCGAAAACTCAGAATAGAGGGATGTTAAGTTCTACTTGTTCCTTAGGAAAAACCGTCGGGCAATTGTACATATTTGTTTTAGTTCTAGGGACGAATTTTCAAAGTCTATCGTTTTGTTGCGTTGTACCTTATTTAATTCTTATTTTGTTGTCGTTTTACCTGCAGGAATCGCCTATATTTCTGTGGATGCAGGGTAAATCGGATCGCGCGATTAATACTATGAAAAAATTGAATAGGAGCTCGAGTCTAAATGAATTGGAACAAGAAACGAGGGAAAAGCAAGCAATACTTCGATCAGCAAACGCAAATACTAAAAACTCACTTCAAATTTTATTTGGAACTCCTGCGGGCAGGAGGGCTTTGTTTTTAACAATGGTTGTACGTGGATTATCGGCTTTCACCGGTGCATACGTTATTTTATCATTTTTAGGAGATTTTCTTAGAGAGCCAACTCATTTGAAAATTTCTGCTGGCGTTATAGCGGTAATTTTAATTATTACTAAAATTATGACAGCTTTATTTAGTGTAGTCTTTGTTGATAAATTCGGCAGACGCATTTTTATGTTAACAGGTACTTTTTTGTTGTCAGTTTCACTCTTCATTTTGGGTTTTTACTACTTTTTTAAAGAAAAGAACGCAATTATTCCAGACAATGTAAAACTGATACCTGTAATTTTTGTATTCGTTTTTTTTATTGGTTACACAATGAGTTTCAGCGGTGTAAGTTTCGCGCTATTATCTGAAATACTTCCTAATGAAGCTAGATCTATCGGTACTGGATTCATTGCTTTCGTTACAGATTTCTGCATATTATTGCAGACTCTTGGATATCCTCTGGTTAGTAAATATTTCGGCGTTCACTACTTCATGTTTTTTTATGGCGTTTTTACAATAATTGGTTTCGTTTTATGTCTAATTTTCTTACCAGAGACCAAAGGAAAGACCTTTTCTGAAATACGTACTATATTAGAAAGTAGGAAATAAAAGATTTAAAATAGAAAAAACTATTTATTTCTTAAGGAATATTAAATGTTGTTGTATTTATTGTTCTAAAATTTTTAGGCTGATATTTATTTAACATGTTTGTAACCACATGTAAAAGTTACAAATGCAATCACAAGTCCAAATTATCTTTCTGCTATTTATCTTCAAATTCAATTTAAATTTTGAAAATGTAAAATTAATCGAAATGTAATGTAGTAATTTAATAATAATTTTTTCACGGTTGAATTTATTTGTTGTGTCTGACCTTAAGGTTAAGTTTAAGTTTATCGTCAATTTCCAAAATCAGTATGGTTAAAATATAAAGGTAGGCAACAAATATATATTGAATAAAAATGCATATGTATCTGTGTAATTAACACAACTCATTCTACTTTGTATCGTATACAGTGCATTACGTTTTTGTATAGGTACCTATACTTAGGTTTGTTTTTGTTTGTATTTCGATGCAGTCTAGTCGTCAATTAAACCTAAAATGAATTGGAAAAATATTTGGATTTACGTCTCAACATTCGCAGGTATGTTGTAAGTTTATAAAAATTACATATAGGAACGGTCTATTTTTAATATGTTTAAAAATATAACAGGGTCATTATTCTGGTAAAATATAAAATTTGCTTTATTTCGACAATCTGTTTGTGTGCATATATTACAATATACCCGTAATTTGATTTTTTTAGGGGGGCTCGAATTTATTTAACAATAATATTTTTGTTTTAGGAATTCTGATTTATATTGAATATGGCATTATTTTGGCGTGGAATTCACCAACATTGGATAAATTTCGATCAAATAACACCGAAATTAATCCTTTGGGCGAGCCAATCTCTGCTTTGCAGCTTTCAATGTGCACATCGATTTTTCCTGTATCTGCGATTGTGACGTCTGTGGGAGTAGCCAAACTGCCCGATATATTCGGAAGGAGAACAACATTAATTTGCACTGCACTTTTAGGATTTACGTCTTTTATCGCGATGGGTTTCGTTAATAACATTTGGACGTATTACTTTACCTATTTTTTAGCGTGTCTTAGTGTTACGGCGGGTATGATAGTAACGCCGACTTATCTATCAGAAATATCGAAAACTCAGAATAGAGGAATGCTAAGTTCTACATGTTCCATAGGAAAATCCATCGGGCAATTGTATACATTTGTCTTAGTTCTAGGAACTAACTACCAAAGTTTATCGTTTTGTTGCGTTGTACCTTATTTAATTCTTATTTTGATGTCGTTTTACCTGCAGGAATCGCCTATATATCTGTGGATTAATGGTAAATCGGATCGCGCGATTAATACTATGAAAAAATTGAACAGGAGCTCGAGTATAAATATGTTTGAACAAGAAATGAGGGAAAAGGAAGTAATGATTCGATCAGAAAATAGTAAAAAGTCGTTGAACATTTTATTTGGAACTCCTGCAGGCAGGAGGGCTTTGTTTTTAACAATGATTGTACGGGGATTATCGGCTTTCACAGGTGCGTACGTTATTCTAACATTTTTAGGAGATTTTCTTAGAGAGCCAACTCATTTGAAAATTTCTGCTGATGTTATAGCGGTAATTTTAATTGTTATTAAACTCATGACAGCTTTATTTAGTGTTATGTTTGTTGATAAATTCGGCAGACGCATTTTTATGTTAACAGGTAATTTTTTGTTGTCAGTTTCACTCTTCATTTTGGGATTTTATTACCTTTTTAAAGAAAAAAACGCAATTATTCCAGACAATGTAAAACTGATACCTGTCATTTTTGTATTCGTTTTTTTTATTGGTTACACATTGAGTTTCAGCGGTACAAGTTTGGCGCTATTATCTGAAATACTTCCTAATGAAGCTCGATCTGTCGGTACTGGATTCATTGCTTTCATTACCAATTTTTGTACGTTAATGCAAAATTTTGGATATCCTCTGGTTAGTAAATATTTCGGCGTTCACTACTTCATGTTTTTTTATGGCGTTTTTACAATAATTGGTTTCGTTTTATGTCTAATTTTCTTACCGGAGACCAAAGGAAAGACCTTCTCTGAAATACGTACTATGTTAGAAAGTAGATAATAAAAGATTTAAAACACAAAAGTCTATTTATTTTTTAAGGAAAAACGAATATATTGTTTAAGAATTTATGGTCATATTTATTTTACATGTTTGTAATCACGGTATTTGAACCAAATGATAAAACTTAGGCGACGCGATGCCTTTGTAGATTTTTTGCACGAAAAGTGCATTTTATTATAATTTACGGCTTTTTACAGATTTATACAAATTGCCCAAACACCGTGACCTCGAATAAATCTTGTTTTTAGAAAAGTTACATATGCAAACACAAGTCGAAATTATTTTTCTTCTATTTATCTTAACTTCAATTTAAATTTTGAAAATGTGAAATTAATCGAAATGTAATGGAGTAATTTTTTTACGGTTGAATTAAATGGCTGTGTCTGACCTTATTTTAATTTTATCGTCAATTTCCCATATCAGTATGGTTAAAATATAAAGGTAGCCAAAATGCATATGTATCGAATTAACACCACTTCATTCTACTTTGTAGCGTAGAGTATGCATTACTAGTGCATTACGTTTTTCAGTATCTACCTATACATGGGTTTGTTTGTACTTCGATGCTGCCTAGTCGTCAGTTTAACCTAAAATGAATTGTAAAAATTTTTCGATTTACGTCTCAACATTCGCAGGTATGTTGTAAGTTTATTAAATACATATGGTCTATTTTGAATATCTATAAAAAATTAAGAATCATAATCATTGTAAAATATAAAATTTTCTTTTTTACGACAATCTATTTATGCACATACATATATTATAATTTACGCGTAATTTGAGTTTACTTAGGAGGGTTCGAATTTATTTAGGTAACAATAATTTTTGTTCTAGGAATTTTGGTTTATATTGAATATGGCATTATTTTGGCGTGGAATTCACCAACATTAGATAAATTTCGATCAAATAACACCGAAATTAATCCTTTGGGTGAGCCAATCTCTGCTTTGCAGCTTTCAATATGCACATCGATTTTTCCTGTATCTGCGATTGTGACGTCTGTGGGAGTAGCCAAACTGCCCGATATATTCGGAAGGAGAACAACATTAATTTGCACTGCACTTTTAGGATTTACGTCTTTTATCGCGATGGGTTTCGTTAATAACATTTGGACGTATTACTTTACCTATTTTTTAGCGTGTCTTAGTGTTAATGCGGGCATGATAGTAACGCCGACCTATCTATCAGAAATATCGAAAACTCAGAATAGAGGAATGCTAAGTTCTACATGTTCTATAGGAAAATCCATCGGGCAATTGTATACATTTGTTTTAGTTCTAGGAACTAACTACCAAAGTTTATCGTTTTGTTGCGTTGTACCTTATTTAATTCTTATTTTGATGTCGTTTTACCTGCAGGAATCGCCTATATATCTGTGGATTAATGGTAAATCGGATCGCGCGATTAATACTATGAAAAAATTAAACAGGAGCTCGAGTATAAATATGTTTGAACAAGAAATGAGGGAAAAGGAAGTAATGATTCGATCAGAAAATAGTAAAAATGCATTTAAAATTTTGTTTGGAACTCCTGCAGGCAGGAGGGCTTTGTTTTTAACAATGATTGTACGGGGATTATCGGCTTTCACAGGTGCGTACGTTATTCTAACATTTTTAGGAGATTTTCTTAGAGAGCCAACTCATTTGAAAATTTCTGCTGACGTTATAGCGGTAATTTTAATTGTTATTAAACTCATGACAGCTTTATTTAGTGTTATGTTTGTTGATAAATTCGGCAGACGCATTTTTATGTTAACAGGTAATTTTTTGTTGTCAGTTTCACTCTTCATTTTGGGATTTTATTACCTTTTTAAAGAAAAAAACGCAATTATTCCAGACAATGTAAAACTGATACCTGTCATTTTTGTATTTGTTTTTTTCATGGGTTACACACTGAGTTTCAGCGGTGTCGGTTTGGCGCTATTATCTGAAATACTTCCTAATGAAGCTAGATCTATCGGTACTGGATTCATTGCTTTCGTTACCGATTTCTGTGTGTTAATGCAGAATTTTGGATATCCTCTGGTTAGTAAATATTTCGGCATTCACTACTTTATGTTTTTTTATGGCGTTTTTACAATAATCGGTTTTGTTTTATGCCTACTTTTCTTACCGGAGACCAAAGGAAAGACTTTTTCTGAAATACGTACTATGTTAGAAAGTAGGTAAAAAATCTATTTATTTTTTAAAATTTACTTAAAATTTTTAGGCTCATAATTATTTTACATGTTTGTAATCTCGTTATTTGAACCAAATGTTAATACTAGGCGACGCCTTTGAAGAGTTCTAGCACGAAAAGTGCATTTTATTACAATTTACGGCTTTTTGAGATTTATACAAATTGGCTCGAGTAAAGTTTTGTGAAAAGTCACCCGAAATTACAAGTCGAAATTACCTTTCTCCTATTTAAATATTGTCTTCAACTTTTTTGAATTCTTGAAATATGAAATAAATTGAAATGTAATAAACTAACTTAATATGTAATGATGTTTTTTTAACAATTGAATTTATTATTTCGTTTCATATATCAGATTCGGTAACTTTCTACTTTGTTAACAGCTTAATATTCGTTGTGAAATTATTTAATATCATAATAATGCATAATATCAAAGTTGTAAGATTCATATTACGATTTATCAACAAAATTCTGTTGGAAATTATTTAGTTAGAGTAAGTAGATACAATAGAGTCGATAAAATAAATGTTTTTGTTGACATAATAATTGCTTTAATTATGAAACAGATTTATTTTAATTTCAATCAACTTTTTTGGTTTACAAATTAAATAATTACGTCTCACCTAATCTGATAAACTTTTATTAAGTTTATCATCAATTTCCTATATCAGTTTAGTTTAAATAAATATGAAGGTGGCTAGCAAATATTTATAATAATTAAAAAATACATAATTAACACAAATTTATTCAATGTTTTAACGTATATAGCGGGTTCCGTTTTTTGGTATCTATGTATAAATCCTACATACTTACTTTGATATTGTTCAGTGGTCAATCGAACCTACAATGGATTTTAAAAATATTTCGATTTATATCTCAACATTCGCAGGTATGTTTGTATGTTTTTTTATAAAATAGTCTTTAAATTCTAAGGTTTAATAGTCTAAAATAGTGTTTATAGTCTATTTAATATGAAAAATAATAATAGAGTCGAAATTCTAGTAAAATACAAAATTTACTTTAGTATGACAATCTTTTTATTTGCATATATTTTAATATAATTTGATTTTTTAGGAAGGTTTAAATTTGTTTAACAATAATTTGTTTTAGGAATTTTGATTTATATTGAATATGGCATCATTTTGGCATGGAATTCACCTACATTGGATAAATTTCGATCAAATAACACCGAAATTAATCCTTTGGGCGAGCCAATCTCTGCTTTGCAGCTTTCAATATGCACATCGATTTTTCCTGTATCTTCGATTGTGACGTCTGTGGGAGTAGCCAAACTGCCCGATATATTCGGAAGAAGAACAACATTAATTTGCACTGCAGTTTTAGGATTTACTTCTTTTATCGCGATGGGTTTCGTTAATAACATTTGGGCGTATTACCTCATTCAATTTTTATCCTGTCTTAGTATAAGTTCAGGTATGGTAGTAACGCCGACTTATCTATCAGAAATATCGAAAACTCAGAATAGAGGGATGCTAAGTTCTACTTGTTCCTTAGGAAAAACCGTCGGGCAATTGTACATATTTGTTTTAGTTCTAGGGACCAATTTTCAAAGTCTATCGTTTTGTTGCGTTGTACCTTATTTAATTCTTATTTTGTTGTCGTTTTACCTGCAGGAATCGCCTATATTTCTGTGGATGAAAGGGAAACCAAATTGCGCGGTCAATACTATGAAAAAATTGAACAGGAGCTCAAGTCTAAATAAGTTGGAACAAGAAACGAAGGAAAAGGAAGCAATGCTTCGATCAGAAAATACTAAAAACTCTTTTAATATTTTATTTGGAACACCTGCAGGCAGGAGGGCTTTGTTTTTAACATTGCTTGTCCGTGGATTATCGGCTTTCACCGGTGCATACGTTCTTATATCATTTTTAGGAGATTTTCTTAGAGAGCCAACTCATTTGAAAATTTCTGCTGACGTTATAGCGGTAATTTTAATTGTTACTAAAATTATGACAGCTTTATTTAGTGTTATGTTTGTTGATAAATTCGGCAGACGTATTTTTATGTTAACAGGAACTTTTTTGTTGTCAGTTTCACTCATCGTTTTGGGTGTTTATTACCTTTTTAAAGAAAAAAACGCCATTATTCCAGACAATGTTAAACTCATACCTGTCATTTTTGTATTCGTTTTTTTTATTGGTTATACAATGAGTTTCAGCGGTGTAAGTTTCGCACTATTATCGGAAATTCTTCCTAATGAAGCTAGATCTGTCGGTACTGGATTAGTGTGTTTCATTACCGATGTCTGTATACTAATACAGAATTTTGGATATCCTCTGGTTAGTAAATATTTTGGCGTTCACTACTTCATGTTTTTTTACGGCGTTTTTACAATAATTGGTTTCGTTTTATGTCTAATTTTCTTACCGGAGACCAAAGGAAAGACCTTCTCAGAAATACGTACGATGTTAGAAAGTAAGTAATAAAAGATTTGAAAAAGAAAAACTTATTTATTTTTTATGCGGAACATCGAATGTACTATTCATTTGAGCCTCATATTTATTTTACCTGTATATAATCGCAATATTTGAACCAAATGACAAAATAATTAAATGAACTGGAAAGTTGGATAAGATATCTTTTAAAACTGGCTGTCCAATGTAGAATACTCTGTATTTACGTGTTAGTGATATTAAAAGCAAAATTAGGTCAATTCAAAATTCCTGAAAACTTCTTAAAATCATTTAATTTAATTTATTAAATAACGAAACATTCTAAAAATAAGTATTTGTTTAAGTTCCTCCTGATATATTCATATCTTGGAACTAATTTATTTAAAATATAATATCAGCCTAACATTACCATTACTTGATAAAAACTGTGAAGATAGCTTAAATATATTTTTAATGTAAATTGTACGAAAATTTTCCTTTACTTTTATTTGTATATTCATCATATGAGTATGTACATTATGAACTGCTCTTTTAGTAAAAATCTACATATGTACGTTTACTATTAATGAACGAAAGTATAACTTTACTATTTTAGGGTGATATATTATTATTATTCCTTTTAATTCTTAAATGCCGATCAAATACAGCTAGGCTAGCTCAGAAATTGGAGATCCCCGCTATGTGTCCTTTCCGTGCGATTAGCGACTAATTAAATATAAGGTTGCATTTAAGTTAATTATTCATGAAATAGTCTAATTATTATAGGTGCATAATAATGGTAGCTATATCACTATTGTTAATTATAAACAAAAAATTCAACAAACTTCTTTAATTGGGTGTAATAATGTCTTACAATTGGCTTATAGTTATAATAAGTATAGTGTTTCGTAGTTGTTTTAATAGTTCACAACGAAGTTATTTTACTACAGAGAAATCCATCCAAAATATCGAGTCGACGATTCTTTAAGGTGAGATATGCCGTTAAAAATTTGCGCTAATTTTAATTGGATTTTATACATTTCAACGTTCGCAGGTAGATTTATTCCATCGTAAATTTTCATCAACTATTTACCAAGGCCATTTATCGTATTTCAGCTAACCTGAGTTTCCTAACCTACGGAATAATATTGGCCTGGAATGCCCCCACATTGGCCAAATTTCGTTCGAACAACACCGAAATCAACCCTTTAGGTGAGCCACTCGCTGCTTTGCAGCTGTCAATATGCACGTCGATATTGCCGGTAGCATCGATAGTGGCTGCACTGGGAGTTTGCAAACTGCCCGACATAATCGGAAGAAGGAAATCGCTGATCTACATATTGTTATTGATTTTAGCGGGATTTGTTCTCGTATCATTCGTCAAAAATTTTTGGTTGTATTGCTTGATTTATTTCGTAATTTGCTCGGGTGTAGCCGCGAGCAGCATAATATCGCCCACTTACACGGCGGAAATATCCGAAGCTTCTAACAGAGGTATGGTTTGTTGTTTCAGTTCCATAGGAAAAACTGTTGGACAGTTGTACATTTTTGTTCTGTCCCCTGTGACGAATTTCCGATATTTATCGATATGTTGTGCGATTCCGTCGTTAATTTTTCTGTTGATTTCGTATTTTATACCGGAATCGCCCATATTTCTATCGATGAAGGGAAGAGAAAGGGAAGCATTGGTAGCATTAAAAGCAGTGAGAATAAATTCAAAACGCGCCGTCTTGCAAACGGAATTGAAGGAAAAACAGGACTTGCTTCAATCGAAGGGAGTAAAAGACGCTTTTAAAATTTTGTTTAAAACTCGTGCTGGTAAAAGAGCCTTCTTTTTGACTTTATTAGTGCGTACGTGTTGTACGACAACGGGTATTAACGTTACTTTAGCATTTGTGGGAGATTTTCTCACAGAACCTGTAAATCCAATAGTTTCTCCAGATAACGTTGCTATAATTTTAATTATATCCAAAATTATAACAGCAATTTTTTGTTCAACTTTTACAGATAAATTAGGTAGAAGAGTTTTCTTAATAACAGGTTGCTTTCTGTCTTCTGCTTCAACTTGTTGCATAGGAGTTTATTATTTATGCAAGCAATATAATTTGAACTTTCCGGATAGTGTAAGAATAATTCCTACTATTGCAATATTTGTTTTCTTCATTGGTTATACCTTAGGTTTCAGTGGAATAACGTATACTTTGTTATCTGAATTGCTCCCTAATGAAGCAAGAACTTTGGGATCTGGTTTAGTCATTTGTATTTCCAATGTCACTCTATTTATTGTATCTTTTTGCTATCCTTTGATTACAAAATATTTAGGTGTTCACTATTGCATGTTTATGTTCAGCTTTATGAGTGCAATCAGTTTTATTTTGCTGTATATTTTTATACCGGAGACCAACGGCAAAAGCTTTTCAGAAATAAGAACCATGTTAACTAATTCAAAAATGTAATAATATGCTTATCGTTATAATATTAAACCAAAGCAATAATTTTGAATGAAATGTTCTACAATATATCTCCTATATTATATATAGTTTTTCATTTTCCTTTCATTCCAGCGAAATTTACTTACTTTTAAAAGACTCTTTCATGCGATTCAAATGGTAGTTTTCATGTCCATTCAAAAAATATTGGTTTGATATAGTTTGCTAATTTAACCGATGTCTTAATTAAAAAATTACAAAAGTTACCCATGACGAATACTTAAATTGGATAACCCTGTATATAACTATAAAAATGACATAAATTAGGACCCATTTAAATAGTAGATACTAGTTAAAAAAATAGGTTCATAAATACTTTGTATTCCAGGTAATTGTGGTATAAGGAGTTATAAAACATGCCCAAAATTAGCGGTAATTGGATTTTATACCTATCAACGTTTACAGGTTAGTTTTAATGAATTCCTACTTAATTATAAATCACCCTCTAGATATTTAAATTTAAACTTTTTTCGTTTCAGCCAATTTGTTTTTCTTCTCTTTCGGCACCATGATGTCGTGGAATACTCCAGTTTTGTTGAAATTTCGATCGGACAACAACGAAACTAATCCTCTAGGAGCTCCACTCACCGTCTTCCAGTTGTCATTGTGCACCTCAATATACCCCTTTGCATCAATATTTGCAGGACTTTTAGTGTCGAAGATGCCTGACATATTCGGCAGGAAGAGATCCATGATCTACATAGCTTCTGCTGGACTGTTGTGTTACATTGGTTTAGCATTCGTTAAAAACGTTTGGTTGTATTGTGTAATTTATATGTTAGTTAGTTTTGCTATCACCGGTGGCATTGTAGTGGCGCCAACTTATGTTTCCGAAATAACTGAAACGAGTAACAGAGGCTCATTGAGCTCAATTGTGGCAGTAGCAACGACATCTGGACAATTGTATTTATTTTTTTTGAGTTCATTTGCGGATTTCAACACGCTGTCGTTGTGTTGTGGTATGCCCTTTTTGTTGATGATCATATTGTCATTCTTTACATATGAATCGCCGATATTGCTATCTATGAGAGGCGACACGGACGGAGCTTTAAGCATATTAAAAAAATTAAGGGGAAACGTGGATCCATCTAAATTGGAAGCGGAGCTAAAAGAGAAAGAGAAGATGATTAAAAAGAATGACAAGAAAGGCGCTCTGAAAATTTTATTCAAAACTTCAGCCGGTAGGAAAGCTTTGTTTATAGCATTGTTGATACGTTCATTGCCTAGTATTTCGGGATTTTACGCCATTCTATCATTCTTCGATGATTTTTTGCGAGAACCAACGCACATGTCAGTTTCCTCAAACACACTTAGCATATTTGTAATTACTTTTAAGATGTGCACGGCTTGTTTGATTTCGAGTTATGTCGATAGATTTGGCAGGAGAATATATCTTCTATCTGGCTGTATTGTATATTCAGCGTCCACATTTTTCATGGGTATGTATTTCATGTGCAAAAACAACAATATGTATATACCTGAAGCCGTAAAGTATGCTCCAATTATTTTATTATTCTTGGTCTCCTTGGGTTATATGCTGGGTCTTGCAGGCGTAACCTACACTTTAGAATCGGAAATTCTTCCCAATGAAGCTAGAGCAGTGGGTTCCGGTTTTGTCGCGTGCATTTCCAATTTGTTATTGTGTCTTATAGCTGTTAGTTACCCATATATCGAGACATATTTAGGTCTTCACTACTGCATGTTCATGTTTAGTGTCCCTATTATAATTGGTTTTGTTCTAATTTTCATTTATGTACCGGAAACTAAAGGAAAAACATTTGAGGAAATAAAATGTTTGCTTGAGAAACATTCAACATAAAATATGTTTATATATTTTATCTATAAAAGTATCTGAATATGTGTTAATATATAGTCAATATCCTCATTTATTGAAAATGATGATTTGAAGTATAAAAATGAGTTTTGCTGTTTGTTACATTCCAATTTTTATAAAAGACTTTCGAATTATATTTTGATTGTTTTAGTAAAATTAATCACTCTGTTTTGGTACTGTGGAACTTCAAAGAGCTGTTTATTAATACCGACTGATGAAATTAAGGGAAATCGAGGCAACTTTTTCGGTCGGTTCCTTTAAAACGGCACAAAAATCGGTCCCGAGTAAACTTAACGAAGCGTTAATTAATTAATCTTAGGTCGAGGATGCCGATGGTTTATTTTATCGTAACTGATATGGCAGATGATGGGCGAGCGATCTGCGTCCTTTAATTAAAAATTAAAAGCCATTAAATGAATTTAACTTCGAAAAAATAAAATTGATAATGGAATCGATTAAGTATCAAATTATGTCCGAAAAGATATCACTCAAATTCGCGCTTAAATAGTTTTATAAATGATAGGAAAAAAAGCAGTAGATACATAACAAAAATTCGTTCTACATATCTCTCCAAACTGACAAAATTTAATTCATAAGGTATAGTAGCGACATGTGATTTTTTATTTATAGAAATACTATGGAATACTATTATGTACATTAAAATTCAAATAAATTGTTTACAAAAATACAACTACTAAATATTGAAGTATGAATTATAACTATTCCTATTTGTATCCATTTAGCTATATGGTATAAACCTAAAGTATTAAAGTTATCCATATACAGGACTTATTTCGGAAAGACATTTCCATACGATTCAAATGGTAGTATTCATATATCCGACTCGCTCAAGTACATATGTATATTTGCCATGTGTTCAAATTACTTTTACCCCATTTGTAAGGTATTAAATTTTAATAATCATCCATTATTTATAACTTTATATAACTCTAAAAATGGCTAAATGTTATTTTTATGTAGTACTTTTATCGCAGACCTTAGTTGAATAGAAAGTATAATTTTTTCCAACTTGTAGGTATTTTATGTATTTGAATGAATTTGTAATTTAAGTAGGTATTAATACAAAAATAATGTGTTATTCTAAGATAATTGGGTCGTCCGAGTTATTTATGTTCTAGGAGGTAATAATGAAAGGTAACTTAATACTTATATAGTTCATATTTTTTTAAATAATTGTAGTAGGTATCGTAGTAGAAGTGATAAAATATGTCCAAAACTAGCTGTAACTGGATTTTATACCTATCAACGTTTACAGGTTAGTTAAATAATGCACCTTTTGCTTATCTTTTTTTTCATAGAGTAATTTTATAGTATTCCATTTAATTATATTACATAATTCATTTTCTATATATTTAAATTAAAACTTTTTACATTTCAGCCAATTTATTTTTCGTATCTTACGGCATCATGTTGTCGTGGAATACTCCAGTTTTGTTGAAATTTCGATCGGACAACAACGAAATTAATCCTCTAGGAGCTCCACTCACCGTCTTCCAGTTGTCATTGTGTACCTCAATATTTCCCTTTGCATCAATATTTGCAGGACTTTTAGTGACGAAGATGCCTGACATATTCGGCAGGAAGAGATCCATGATCTACATAGCTACTGCTGGACTGTTGTGCTTCATTGGTTTAGCATTCGTTAAAAATGTTTGGTTGTATTGTTCAATTTACATGTTAACTTGTATTAGTGTTAGCGGTGGAATTGTAGTGGTTCCTACGTATGTTTCGGAAATAACGGAAACGAAGAATAGAGGCTCATTGAGCTCAATTGTCGCTGTAGCAGCGACCGTTGGACAATTGTATCTATTTATATTAACTCCATATACAGATTTTAAAATGCTGTCGTTATGTTGTGGAATGCCCTTTTTGATAATCATCATATTGTCGTTTTTTATATATGAATCGCCGATTTTGCTATCTATGAAAGGCGATACGGATGGAGCTTTAAACATATTAAAAAAATTAAGGAGAAACGTGGATCCTTCTAAATTGGAAGATGAGTTAAGAGAAAAGGAGAAGATGCTTGTAACAAATGACAAAAAAAGCGCTCTGAAAGTTTTATTTAAAACTTCAGTCGGAAGGAAAGCTTTGTTTATAGCGTTGTTGGTACGTTCATTGCCAAGTTTTTCAGGATTTTACGTTATTCTATCATTCTTCGATGATTTTCTACGAGAACCAACGAACATATCAGTTTCCTCAAACACACTTAGCATATTTATAATTTGTTTTAAGATGTTCTCGTCTAGTTTAATTTCGTTGTATCTCGATAGATTTGGCAGGAGAATATACCTTCTATCAGGATGTATTGTATATTCAGCGGCCACATTCGGCATGGGAATGTATTTCTTGTGCAAAAACAACAATATGTACATACCTGAAGCCGTAAAGTTTGTTCCAATTGTTTTATTATTCTTGGTCTCCTTGGGTTATATGCTAGGTCTTGCAGGCGTTAGCTTTACTGTAGTATCAGAAATTCTTCCCAACGAAGCGAGAGCCGTGGGTTCCGGTTTTGCCGCGTGCATTGCCAATTTGGTTTTGTCGGCTATAGCCGTTAGTTACCCATATATCGACGAATATTTTGGTCTTCAGTTCTGCATGTTCATGTTTACTGTCCCTCTTATAATTGGTTTCTTTTTAATTTTCTTTTATGTGCCAGAAACAAAAGAAAAAACCTTCGAGGAAATAAAATGTTTGTTGGATAAACATCGAACATAATATCTATTTGTTAGATTTAGTTATACGAGTTATACGATTTAGAGTATAGGTAAAGTTACTCTTACAATTTGTCAAAGTCCATTTGTATTGGATTAATATGTTTGTTCAAATTTGCCCTTAAATAGTTTCATAGTTATTGAAGGAAAGGCAACATTTCTTTCCAACTGACAAAATTTATTTCATAAGATAATACCTAATGTTGTAATGTTATTAAAATATTTTTTATTTATAGAAATACTATGAAATACTATTATGTAAATTAATATTAAAATAAATTGTACCTACACAAAAAATGAATATGTATGTATAAATCTAAAGTAATAAGGTTAACCGTATAACGTCTCAAAGAAAATTGACTTGTTTTTAAAAGACTTTACCACATCATTCAATTGATATTTTTTAAATTCATGCGCTTAGATATTATTCACTTAAATTTAAATTACTTTGAGTAAATTTGTAAGCTATTAAATTTCAATAATCATCCATTATTTATAACTTCATACAATATGTAACTCGAACGTTAACTGTAACGAACGTTACTTTTTTGTAGTACTTTTAACGGAAAAACTCGAAAGAGAAAGCAGTGGCGTACCACTTTTACCCTAAAAAATGTTTGGCCTGAGTACAGTACCGATGCCACTGTTGGAAATAAAAAAATGTTGTTAAAGTCAAAAATGATCTTTAATGCATAAATGCCGTACACCAAATTTCATAAAAAAATTTAAAGTGGTATGGAAATGAGAGTAAAAAATTGATATTTTCTTAAAACTTTAACATCCTCTATCTCAAAAGTTAAGACGTTTAGGGCATGGGTTCATATGAAGATCTTTTCTTAAAAAAAAAGAAATACTATTATGTAAGAATCACCCAAAATCACCCCCTTCAGTCTTGCATTTTTTAAAAAAAACATACTGTATATGTATTTGAATAAATTTGTAATTGAAATATGTAGTTAAAAAATATTAATTAATGTAATATTCGAAAATAATTAGGCCGCATGTGTTAATTATATTTATATATACATATAGGTATATAGGTAAAAAATGGCAACCAAAAGAATTGCTTATCTATACACCGTTCATATTCCAGGTAATTGTGGTAAACGAAGTAATTAAATATGCCCAAAGTCAGCTGTAACTGGATTTTATACCTATCAACTTTTACAGGTGGGTTAAATAATACCTACATCTTTTGTTTATATTATGTTTTTCTTAGCATAATTTTGTAGTATTCCATCTTAATTATAAATAATCTTAAACATACATCAATTCCAACTTTTTTCATTTCAGCCAATTTATTTTTCGTGTCATACGGCACTATGTTGACGTGGCATACTCCAGTTTTGCTGAAATTTCGATCCAACAACAACGAAATTAATCCTCTGGGAGCTCCACTCACCGTCTTCCAGTTGTCATTGTGCACCTCAATATATCCATTTGCATCAATTTTGGCAGGACTTTTAGTGTCGAAGATGCCTGACATATTCGGCAGGAGGAGATCCATGATCTACATAGCTACTGCTGGACTGTTGTGCTTCATTGGTTTAGCATTCGTTAGAAATGTTTGGTTGTATTGTTCAATTTACATGTTAACTTGTATTAGTGTTAGCGGTGGAATTGTGGTGGTTCCTACGTATGTTTCGGAAATATCGGAAACGAAGAATAGAGGCTCATTCAGTTCAGCTGTCTCTATAGGAACGACCATTGGACAGTTGTATTTATTTATTTTAGCTCCAGTTACGGATTTTAAAATGTTGTCGTTGTGTTGTGGTATACCATTTTTTACGATTGTAGTATTGTCATTCTTTACATATGAATCGCCGGTATTGCTATCTATGAGGGGTGACACGGACGGAGCTTTAAGAATATTAAAAAAATTAAGGAGAAACGTGGAGTCTTCTAAATTGGAAGAGGAGTTAAAAGAGAAAGAGAAGATGCTTAAAGTAAGTGACAAAAAAAGCGCGTTGAAAATTTTATTCAAAACTTCAGTCGGAAGGAAATCTTTCTTTATAGCGTTGTTGATACGTTCGTTGCCAAGTTTTTCCGGATTTTTCGTTATTCTATCATTCTTAGATGATTTTCTGCGAGAACCCACCAATATATCAGTTTCCTCAAATACACTTAGTATATTTTTAATTTGTTTTAAGGTGCTCTCGGCTAGTTTAATTTCGATTTTTCTCGATAGATTTGGTAGGAGAATGTACCTTCTACTAGGATGTATTGTATATTCATCATCCACGTTCTGCATGGGTGTATATTTCTTGTGCAAAAACAACAATATGTACATACCCGAAACCGTAAAATTAGTTCCTATTATTTTATTATTTTTGGTCTCCTTGGGTTATATGGTAAGTTTCGCAGGCGTAAGCTATACTGTAGTCTCGGAAATTCTTCCGAATGAAGCGAGAGCTGTCGGTTCTGGACTTGTCGCATGCATTTCCAATTTTATATTGTCGCTTATAGCCATTAGTTACCCATATATCGACAAATATTTAGGTGTTCAATACTGCTTGTTCATGTTTTCTTTTCCTGTTATAATCGGTTTTGTTTTAATTCTCATTTATGTACCAGAAACTAAAGGAAAAAGCTTCGAGCAAATAAGATGTTTGTTGAATAAACATTAAACATAAAATGTGTTTTGTCTATCCATCCTAATAAAATTAAAATAAATTGTAAACCAAAAAAAGAACTACTGGTTTCTGAAATTTGAATTACAACTATCCCTATTTATATCCATTTAGGTATATAAAACGGTACTAAAGTTCACCGTATAACAGCACTAATGAATAAACAAGACAAAGTCTCTGCATTAATTATATCAAAATTTATACACTGTAACCTACATCTGTCATAATTCGATAAACAAACATTGAGAATTCCATCTATTCTTAGGCTTAAAGGCACTTATTCAACGAAACACAACTGGATACGTTCGTATTTTAAGCACCCATTCGAACGTCGTTGTTCGTTACGCTCAAAATAGTTTAAATTAAGCCTCGATGCAGAAACATGTTTGTAATTTGTACGAGATGCGTCTTGCCGTTTGATAGGAACGACAACTGTCCTTTTGAGCTAATGATTTCTGGATCCGGTTCGTTTGCTTTATTTTTCGCGGGCTCACGAATATGAAAACCACACACGTCGACCGCTATTACAATTCCGCTTTAAATGTCGTCTAATTTCGAGATTAATTGCTGGAAAATAAATGACCTGAGGCCGTTCCACCTCCGACATTACTTGCTCTTTTTTTGATAACTTCACGAGATTACTCCGTTTAGTGAGGTTTATTTCTTCCCATTAATTTTTTCATGTAGTTGGGGTGGAAGCAGAAATGTTTATTTATAAATACAAATAGACATTCTTTCGCTTTCATCTTCTGGTAGATCTTGTTAGTATCACGATCTCCAATGTTAGTTTTAGCACGAAAATAATAAGAGTTGGGCGTGGGGTTATTAAAGAGAGCCGGCTAATTTTCGCAACGGCTCCCCCTATACATTCCGTGAAGCAAACAATAAAACAGACACAATATGAGAATCTTCCATGATAGGGCACATAAAGACCGGCATTGCCGGTCTAATAAAGGAATATACAGCTTCATTACGTTCTGGGAGTGTCTGAAATGTTTTGTCTAACAGACTAAAGGGATATCGCCCGCATTTACAGGGTCGAGCGGAATTGTTTAAACAATTTTTAAATCGCTTGTTAAAACGAAAGAATTTGAAGATAATGAAATGGAGACTTGAGTAATTTCTCTACATATAGTTTTAAATTTGTCTGGGGTTTTTTATTAGTGCAAATATACACAATTTTGATGCTAGGTAAAATTCGCATGTGAATATTTATTTGATAAATTTGATATTTAAACATCACTTTATACTTAGTGTAAAGTTACAATGGGTTTTTGGTGTATAATAGAATATGGATCATCCCTGTAGGTTCGGCGTCCTAGGAGAATGAGGGTCCTCTTAATTTCGCTAGAACTCAAACCAGAATTGAAGGAAGAGGCCGCGTGTCACGTACAAACGTTGTTGAACGGATAATAGAAGAGATAATAGGCAAATTATGTTAGTTAATGGCGACATTTACACAGTTATTTCCATTTCTCTTTGTGCTCTCGAATTGCTCTCCCACTGTATACGTATCCGCGTTTATATTTGCTTAATTCATGGGAATGGACGACTGTAACTGAGACCAACCACTCGACATTTGAACCGTTCACGGGGGGCGATTTTATCGGTCGTTATGCGATCGTTACGACCGAGAAAAAAACCAAATAATAATTTCGATAAGAGAAACGATGTTGTTCGAATTAAACGAAATCGGTGAACAAACCCTTCCGTCTTGGGAGGAATTCTAACAGCCGCCTCCCGGTGTACTCGCCGCATATCAATCCCGGAAAGCCGCCCCCCCGGTGCTCCTCCAGATGCCGCAGACCCGCTCTTAAACTCACGAACCGACATCGAATAACAATATTTTGACAAAAGTGAATTATCTAATTTGTAATTATTCCGGTGTAGGAATTCCGGCGCGTGACTCAACCGAATTTCTCGACTTATCCCGTCAGACGGGGGGACGTTGAAATTACTAATTCCACATGGCGATGACGTCCTCGCGTCGTCGACGTACGTTTTCCAGGTTATACCAGAATGTTACAGGGTAAGCCGAGTTCGAAACGAAACACATTTATACTGTTTGGTGGATCACTTTTCCAGTGAGTACCCAATAGTCGGTGAAGTGTACTGGCTTATAAGATCAAGGAGGATATTAGAAAACGGCTAAGTTTCCGGGTCAGTTCGTTCCGATTGAGCGATATTAGGTTTAGGCTTCGGGTTTGAGACACCGTGTAGGCAGATATATCCGCTCAGGAGGTGGTCGGAAGAAGGAAGAAGGAGCGCCTGAGGAAACGGTAACAGCTAGTTAGTTAAGGGTTGATGTAATTTGGCATAATCTGATTGGCGAGAGCAGATTCGATTATGATAATACCCGGCTGTAGTCGGTGCTCCTGCGGGACTGCCGGGAATTTCACTTTTTGAAGGATACCGTCTCGCCGAAGGAACCGAACGGGAACTCCCGTGAATTTATAATGCGATAATACCAAGTTCGATGCGTGCACTAGTTTAGTCCTAGAAAAATAGTGGGCTTACATTTCTCTGAAAAAATATCAACATCGATGTAACTATTAAAGAATCTTCTGTCTCCCAAAATATACCTTCTGTATCGCATTTTTCTGGATGTTTGCGTTAGACACAATTTATTTTCGGCAGGATCGCTATGCATACAGGTAAGTGCACCGAGAGGCGCCGAAACGAATTCGAAATTTTCGTTCGTACCGTCCGAATGCCAAAGTCCGTTTTGCCAATTGGCATTCCTCTCGCACGCCCGTCCTATACAGCTTGTTTCGCAGTCTTAAATTAGCTCTGGAACAACTCGCGAAAAACATTTTAGACGCGGGAAATCGTCCTACTCCTTCTGTGCCAATAAGAATGGAAAACAGAACGGGCATTTGCATAATCCGGCGTTATTTTCGGTCGTTCGCGCGGCCAGGTGTACCGACAATTTTTACCGAAGGGTCTAATGTATTTTTTTATTGTTTCATTAAATGTTATGAATACTTTTATGAGATCGTTTCACGGTGTATCTTCCTGGTTATAGTGTCTCGTATGGACTTGATTTTTTAAAAAGAATATAAAACATTATGTAACCTACTATTAAAAATTTTAATTCAAATTATTTCGTTTAATGTTTCTTCTAATGAAGTCGAATTTATAACGAAACCGACTGCACTGTATCCATCCCTAGGTGTTCTTTAATGGAGCGTCACGGTTTATTTTCGCCCGGTCCGCATGAATGCGATGCAAAAGGCACGAGAATCGTGCCAATTGGTGTTTTGTTTTAATTTATTCAAAGGTTCATTGAAACAAAGTACCAAAAATAAACGTAAAGAGGACGAAGGAATCGTTGAAACGTAGATGCGTCGGTCGGTATGCGGGCAAAAAGACGCCAAAAACCGGTAAGGGGAGAGAGCTGTTGCTATTCCAGCATTTATAATGCCTTCTTGTTGTTTGTTTGCCACGGGATTGCTCGAATAGATGAGTACCAGGTGTGGAGCAGTTCGAATGAAGTGTGTTAAATTACTTTGAAGTCTAAACTGTCCAATATGGATATGTATATACAGGGTGTTCTCGAACTTAAAGCACTAAATTTTAGTGACTAAAAATTATAATAAACAAATTTGAAATATTAAAAATATTAGAAATATTTCAAAGAAATTTGTTTATTACTTATCTATTCCACATGGTAGGTATCTAAATTTTTAGAATCGTGGATAAATTATAAAAGTAAACCGTGATTTTCAAACAATAGAAAAAAATAAACTTTAAACTCGAAAGAAATATTAACTCACCTATTTTGATGTTGAAGTTCGCGTGTAGCATTGCCAATATTGCTATTAATTGTTCCAGAACATCACTAACATAAAAACTAACTAAACAGAACACTAAGAACTAAAACAATCAAATAAATATCTAAAGTCTAATCACAAAAATCTATTTAACCCCGATGTTATAAACGAAACAATACAATTCGCACTAGAAAACCATCCTTATCAGTAACGTTTTTCGAAAACTGGAGGGCGGAGGGGGAAATTTACGCTCGCTGATAACACCACATCTGTTTTTTGAGTTAAAATCCCGATCAGCTGACTATTCAGGCCAGGGTTGTATTCGCTCTTTGCATTTATTTCTAACGGCTCTATTTTGTTTATTATAATTTTTTTAGAAAAATGAAATCTGCGATTCGGTCTCAAGTTATGCAAACTACAACCCCTAGAATTTAGTGCCATAAGTTCGAGAACACCATGTATGTATAGCCTCCACCTGGAAACCGAAGTACTTTTTTTATTTGGAAATAGAAATATTTTTAATCTAGTGTTGGACAAAGACAAAGGGTCTTAGGCACATAATTTCATGGAAACTTTTTTGTCAATTTGTCGAAAATAAAAATCGGACTACTCGTATTTAAACCACGATCGTATATACCGCTGAAAGAATAGCGAACACACGCTAAAAGTACAAAAAAATTAACAAGAGGAAAGCAGCAAGAACAAAAAGATATAGAAAAAGAGCCTGAAAGGAATCCTCTCGCAAACAGCCAACCCGTAAGTAGTTATTTTCGCCGAGAAAGAAAATAACTCTCATTGACAGAAGACACAATTTGCTCAATACTGGTACAATAACATTAATTAAACGAACAATTCAGCGCCCACAAACATTGCCTGAAATAATTCCGAAGTAAAATATCTCGGTCTGATAGATCTTGTATTTCTTGACAAAGGCAAGCTCGCGTACATCGTCCCCGCAAATGCGATCGATACAAGAAAAAACGCTAAAAAAATTTAGTACAGTCAATAATAGTACAGTAATAGTACAGTACATTTTTTTTAGTATAGCAAATCTTCAAATTTACTACAATTCTTCTACGCTCATAGTACAATCGATAAAAGATCATTTTCAAAGCAGGAATTGTATACTTTTTCATTAACACCATGTAACAAGATAGGTTGTTATTTACTTTTACGAGTTAAGTACAACAGAAAAGAAACCGAACTGATGACTAAAAGATAACAAAGTAGAAAATGTCGTTAG